CAGTGAAGAATTGTGGTGGGATTTTAATGGGGATTGCATTGAATCTGTAGATTGTTTTTGGTATGATTGCCATTTTTACTATGTTAATCCTACCTAACTAAGAGCATGGGAGATCTTTCCATTTTCTGGTATCTTCTTTAATTTCTTTCTTTAGAGTCAAAAAGTTCTTATTATATAGGTCTTTTACTTGTTTGGTAGGCGTTACACCAAGATATTTTATGTTGCTTGTGGCTATTGTAAAGGGTGATGTTTCTCTGTTTTCTTTCTCTATCTCTTTGTCGTCTGAAAAAAGTAGGGCTACTGATTTTTTTGAGTTTATCTAGTATCCTGCTAGTTTGCTGAAGGTGTTTATCAGCTGTAGGAGTTCCCTGTTAGAGTTTATTGGGTCGCTTATGTAAACTATCATATCATCTGCAAATAGAGACAGTTTGACTTCTTCCTTTCCAATTTGGATCCCCTTGATCTCCTTTTGTTGTCTTATAGCATTAGCTAGAACTTCTAGTATGATATTGAAGAGATATGGAGAGAGAGGACAGCCTTATCTTGTTCCTGATTTTAGAGGAATTGGCTTAAGTTTCTCTCCATTCAGTTTGATGTTGGCAGTTGGTTTGCTGTATATTGCTCTTATTTTTTTTAGGTATTTTCCTGTTATCCCTGACCTCTCCAATTCCTTTATCATGAAAGGGTGTTGAATTTTGTCAAAGGCTTTTTCCGCATCTAGGGAGATAATCATATGGTTTTTCTTTTTCTGTTTATATGGTGGATAACGTTGATAGATTTTGCATGTTAAACCATCCCTGCATTCCAGGTATAAAGCTTACTTGGTCATGGTGGATGATTTCTCTGATGTATTCTTGAATTCGGTTTGCCAGTATTTTATTGAGTATTTTTGCATCGATGTTCATCAGGGATATTGGTTTGTAGTTTTCTTTCTTAGTTGTGTCTTTGTGAGGTTTGGGTACCAAAGTTATTGTGGCCTCATAAAAAGAGTTTGGCAATGGACCTTCTGTTTCTATCTTGTGGAACAGTTTGAGGAGTAGTGGTATTAATTCTTCCTTGAATGTCTGGTAGAATTCTGTGCTGAATCCATCTGGCCCTGGACTTTTTTTTGGTTGGAAGGCTTTTGATGACTGCTTCTATTTCATTGCGGGTTATAGGTCTATTTAAGTTGTTTGCTCTTGATTTAATTTTGGTAATTGATAGTTATCCAGAAACTTGTCCATTTCCTTTGAATTTTCAATTTTTGTGGAATACAGATTTTCAAAGTATGACCTGAAAATTGTCTGGATTTCCTCTGTGTTTGTTGTTATGTTCCCCATTTCCTTTCTGATTTTGTTAATTTGCATGTTCTGTCTCTGCTTTTTCATTAATTTGGATAAAGGTTTGTCTATCTTGTTGATTTTCTCAAAAAACATATACTAAACTTTACTACTTCTTTAACTTGGTGAATTTTCTTGCCACTTATATACTGATGAACTTCCAGATTAGCCCACACTAATATCCTGGTATTTCTGAAATGCCATCTTTCCTTGTATCTCTTTGTATCTGTGTAATCTTGGGGCAGGGTTGATGTAACAGCATTATAGAGACAACTGCCAGAAACTATCTGAAGATGTTTTCTAGTCTATTTTGAAGGCTATTAGTCTGAGAACTTCCAGTTCCCTAAATGCTATAGCTTGAACTAGTTTTAAGCAATATGGGAAAAATTGTCACTTTTAGTTAATAGCCTGACTAGGATACCTTTGGAAGGACATGAAAGTGGCTGTAAAACTAGGATAGCATCCTCGAATATAAAAGGATTCAGGCCAATTCTACTTTTCCTTCTAGGCACCTCCATATTCTCAGCATATGAGAGAATTCTCAGCAGAGAGAAAAAAATCAATCACTCATAATTGAGCACTTCTTTCTTCTCTTTCTTGTGTCCTTCTTGCATTTGTTGATTATGACCCCTGTAGTGGCAAGGAAGATGATGTCAGTCTGTTTTTGCCTGACACTCCTATGGCCAACCAGATTTAGACTTTATCAGCAATAGGCGGTCTTCATTTGCTTTCCTGAGTGACTTGTAATCAGGATCCAACTGTCAGTTTTCTTTTTGAGGACAATTCAGCCCTTTGATTGAATGAATTTGGGTCAAGAATGAAATTAAGTTTGATTATTGCAGTGCAAGAATGTCTCTAACTGGAAGGAATGCTGAGTTGGGTCACACTTGAGTTATGTTAGTCTGGTGGTACCTGATAAATCCTGTAATTCATTAAAATGGAGAGTCTGTCGCCATGAAGGAATAATCTTTGCCTCATGGTTGTAGCTCTATAATAGGAACAATGATGATTGTCATTCTTTCCCTTCTGATTTAATGTAGGATACTTCTCAAATATTGGTATAGATTTGAACCTAAAAGCCTCTCAAAAGAAGAAACTTCTTTCCCTTTATAATAGAATTTAGTTTATTTTCTTGCTGCATAGCCATAGAATAAGCCACAGATTACACAATGAACTATGATACTCTTGCTCTTGGATCCTCTCTAATTATAGGAAAGAATTAAAAGTTCCTTCATCGCTAAGTTTTCATGATCTTATAGTAGGACAATGAGTATGAAGACATATACATCCCTTACCAAATTATTTCAAACCAGACTATTGTTCTTTAATTCAATATGGGCTGACATCTTTAAAGATTCTGCCTTTGGATGCATTCAATCTTCGTTCAATGCTTGGCCTTTGTGTAGCTAGCTGCTTCTCTGCATTGCAACTTGCCACTTTGTTGTTCAAGTTCCTCTCTTTGTCTGACTCTTACCTATGAACTTCTCTTATACCACTCACACTCTCTATGTAAAATTCAGTTTCCATGTAGCCCAGGCTGACTTTGAAAATTTATCTGCTGCCTCCACATCCTGTGTCAGTATTACAGGTATGATGCAGGAATGAACCATTACAGCAGTCGTAGATAAAATAAATTACAGAGTACGGTTTCATAACCAGCAATCTCATTTAGTCCCACTTAGCCTGAGAATGGGCATTGTTATTCAGCTCTGTGTCCTCTAGCAATTTAAACTAGAAGCTGCAAGACCAGGGATAGCGAGTTTGATTTGTACAAGTCTGCATTTCATCCAGTGTTGTTGACTTATTCTCAGGTGAAGATGGTTTCTGAGACAAAATCTCAAACTCCCTTGAAAGTCAAATACATTTTAAAATAGAAGCACAAATGTCTCTTAGGTGTGCCAATTTCATGAAATTAACTGTATGAATTCAATCAGATAAAGTAATTTCTCTTGCCAATGGCTAGTGAATATCTGCACTTTTTTAGAAGAATGGGAAATAATGGGTGTCAGTTAGTAGGTCTGGGCAGTCTATGGGGCTTCTGGTAGTGGATCAGTATTTAGCCCTAGTATATGAATGTACTTTGGGTGCTGATTCCTCATAGAGGGATACTTTCCCAGCCTGGACTCATGGGGGAGAGCCTAGGTCCATCACCAAATGATATGCCAGATTTTGAAGATCCCCCATGGAAGGCTTTACCCTCCCTGGGGAGCAGAAAGGGGATGAAATGGGAGTTACTGGGATGGGGGAACAGGAATTGACCTGTGAAACAAGCTTGCTTCAAATTTAAATAAAACATATTATCATCAAAATATACAGTTTCCACTTTAAAGCCACTTTGCAACTTCATAAGTTGGACTTAAGGAATAATTAAACTTTACTTTCTTTCCTTCACAGAGAACTTTGCAATTCATAAAGTGTCAAATAGACTTTAGCACCATTAAGACAGATGATCTGTTCTCTAACTTGGATCTGCTCCAGAAGTACTTATGGAGTTTCTCAAACAACTTACACTTTTGTTACACAATAAATAAATGACCCGGAGACTGATAATTGAGGTTCAAGCTATTAGCTGAAGGTCAGAAAAGCAAAGCAGCTGGTCACTAGCTATTTATTACTCTATGTCAGAATAACTTACGATCCTGGCTCCTTCAAACTTTAAACTGCCACCTCCCCTCATTGTGGCTGGAGAATCCTGAGACTTCAATGTCTTCCCATTCTCAACATGTCTAGTGAATGTGTTCCTAATTATGACTACCAAAGTCCTTGCTCCTATCTTTTATTTCCCTCTTGTGGGATCCCATGTGCTGAGATCATCTATGTGTGAGCTGTTTCTCTTTAGTAATGGATAAATTTTCTGTAGATCTGGATGGCCTTGGACTCACAGAGCTCTGTCTACCTCTTGATGCTCAGTACCATCAACTCCTTGTTTGAGGATGCTGAGATTAAAGTATGCATTATCACTGATCTCCATTGCTTGAAACTGACTTTGCTTTCTGAATCCTTAGGCAAGCTTTAATAAATCATACATAATACTGCTTAGACCTTATAGTGGATAATTATCTTTTTGTTCATTCATTTCTGGTTCCACCATGCTATTGATCCCTTCTCTATCACAATCACACTCCTCTCCACTTCTTGTATTTTGTATGTTTATTTAATGGTGTTAAGGGGTGCTTTGATGTTTGGCCAGTCATGGGATAATTACTATTGCCAGGCTTAAAATTAAATAAGAATTAAATATCATAACACACATGATCTTCATTTGTATCATCCCAAATTGTAGCAAACAAGTGTAGTCCCATACCATAATAAAATTTCAATCATTTTATAAGTATCCACATACCTTTCTCCCATAATTATTTATTAGGGAACACAATCATAACACATAATTTTACTAGAAATGTGACATTAGAAGGTAATATGTAAAATACAACAATTTCCCTGTTATTATATTCTTTAAATGCAAACATAAAAGTGAAAGAAGCATTGCAGGTATAGAAATGACAGATTACAAAGTTTGATTCATGAGAATTAAGATCTTGATCAAGTTTCAGAATTCTATTATTAAGTTTTTAATTTGCTAATGAGAATAAATTACATATTTTGACCAAAATTTGTAGAGTAAAAACTTTCAGTGTTTCCTTGGATAGAAGTTTTGTCTAAGAAACAAGTCAGGAATATTTAATGAGCATTTTGAATTCTAAAACGCACATTCCAGGATTTCTGAAAAGAATTTCCCCCTGATCTTAACAAAATAATGTAGACCTTTGGGGCAAAGATGCAAAGAAGCAAGCCAGCACTGGAGGCCAAGATAGAGAAAACCTCCACGGCCACCATTGCCTTCCCCTTGGTGCTGTGGTAGACAGGAAGGAAGGTCACCCAGACACTACAGAACACCAGCATGCTGAAAGTCAGGTACTTGGCTTCATTGAATGTGTCAGGCAGATTCCTGGCCAAGAAAGCAACAATGAAACTTCCCATGGCAATGGAGCCTAAGTATCCCAGGACACAATAGAAGGCAATAATTGAACCTTTGTTACAGATAATCAAAATATGACCTTTTTCAACATGTACATCAGCATCAACAAATGGAGGATAAGTGCCCAGCCAGATTCCACAAATAATCAGCTGAATTGTGGTGCAAATTGGAATGATGAAGTTTGGTGCCCTTGACACAAGCAGCCACCTCAACCTTCTACTTGGATTAGTAACTTTGAAAGCCAGTACTACTGTAACTGTCTTGGCCAAGACAGTAGAAGCAGCCACAGTAAACACAACTGCAAACATGGTCTGCTGCATGATGCATGTGGCCATAACAGGACGGCCAATGAAGAGTAAGGAACAGAGAAAACAAAAAATAAGGGACATGAGCAGAACATAGCTGAGAGTTCTGTTGTTAGCCTTGACAATGGGTGTGTCTTGGTGCTTCAAAAACACACAAAGTGTAAGAGTTGTCAGAGAAAAGAAGCACAGAGTCAAGCAGGCAAGAGACATTCCTAAAGGGTCTTCATAACCCAGGAATGCCATAACTTTTTTGAGGCAGTGTGTTCTTCCAGGGTCGGCATATTGATCATCTGGACACTTTACACACTGATCCATGTCTGAAAAAGGAAGAAAAATAGAATCAGGTTTAATATTTCTTGAATATTCACAATACATATTATATGAGTTCTCAATATTTTTGTGAAATTGGCCTCATCTTATGGGATAGATGAACAGTGAAATTTGGTTTTTGTTTAAGAATTAATAGCAACTTCAAAATATATAATATTTATTCACAATTATTTGACTATCTTGCTCATATTTATCATCCATATTCATGGTGTTTTTAGTAACATGACAGAAAATAGTAGTCTATGACAGACAGAATAATTATGCTTGTGCAATTAAGTAAACTAATGAGAGGATTTCATGGAAGGACATATTTATTCTTAACTATTCTGTAAATTGTGAAATTCACAAACATATAAACAAGTTCTTTCATATATATTTTCACATTTCAGTATCAAATCTAAAGCCACATACTAATGTCCTCATGTAAGTTCTTGGGTATGCAAAAACTCTTAAGTCCATATACTTCATAAGAGACTGCATAAATAATATCCAGAAAAGCAGAGACTGCATGAATCACTTTTAACCTAAAGTCTCTATATGTTTAACGTATTACTTTTACTATTAGGTTTTAGTGTATGAGTTTTAGTTAGAAACTGTACCTACTAGTTCTACTAATTTTTATAATATTTGATTGCCAATGCTCCCAAGAAAAAGTTTAGAAACTTCTAATATGCCCAAGAATTTAATTATATTCATGTCAATTAGTCTATTTGATAAATAAATCATAGTAGTGTAATAAAAAGATTTATGTATGACAAACAAAATTCAAAATTAATTAAACTTTTCATCAAAATAGAAACACAAGATGACTTTGTGAACTAAATGATCAATTATATTGAAGACTACTTTTGACTCTAAAGATCAGGTACCCAGATACTTCTTATGCACTCAGAGAGAGAGAAGAACTTTCTTACATTGAATTAGTACTTATTACTAATGACTAATTGACTTAGCTACTGATTTACTTAAAGCACTGCGTGTACTGCATATTTGTCAAGTATGACTCCACTCGAAACTGGGACAGATGACCTGGAGAGATAACTGAAACAATGAGTCTTAACAACCTGTTTGCTGTCACATAAGTTTCTATAAAATCTTGCTTGCTTGCTCACTCCACCTTGTAATTTTTTAGTATAAAATGAGAAGTAACCTAGACTGGGAATCAAAGCCTTTCACAAGTTATCCTGGCTTCTGTCCATCAGTAATATCTCTTGTCTTCTTTTCTCAGTGGTATCACTGTGTTTACTCTAGAAAGATTTCCCCAAGAGCATCTTTTGTAAGCACATTTATATGAACTTTGAAAATGCTGAATGATAATTATCTTTAATATATTGTAACATTTTGATTTCTTTTTGTATATGAACTCAATATGTATCTTCACACTTCTCAAATTGAAATTATATGAAATAAATATAAAAATGAAGCTTCTATGTGTCATCACAGCAGAAAAATTTATATAGTTCAATAACCTGGTGCACTACCAATAATATCTCTATCAAAAAAGTTGCATAGGACCTTGTCATAAATAATATATCCCCAAATATGCAATACAGAAGTTTATGCTCATACTTGACGTCTGCCGTATTTTTTTTTTTAAATACAGGACAGAGCTCAGCAGGACCCATTGGGCTAGATGTTGACATCCTGTGCTGTGTGGCAGCTGCTGGCTTGCCATGAGTTGGGGAGTACTGCACACTTTAGTTATGCCCTGGGTTGCAACAGCAAGAATTTGATCTCTAGCAGCATGGGCGAGAAAGCCCAATTCACAGAGGGACAGACACTGCCTTGGATCTCCATCAAGGATTCATCTGCCTCCTTCCATCTGCACTCTGCAATATTACCCCTTCCAGTCTTGAGGCCATGCTGCCCCAGTTTCTTCCTCCATGGTCACCTGGCTGCCTCTCTTCTCCTTTTCTGAATCTATCAGGACATGTTTTGTATTTTTGGGTCCCTCCTGGATGACCCAGAATGGTCTCATCTCAATCACTTACAATCAACCTCATTACATCTACAAAGACCCATATCCAGATATGACCTCCTCCTTTTCAGGATTAAGGCTACTTTATAGTTTACGGATGAAATGGAGTGAGGCATGATGGCACACACCTGTAATCTCAGCACTTAGGAGCTGGAGATAGGAAGATCAAGAGTTTAAAATCAGGCTTGGCTACAAAGCAAATTCAAGCCAGCCTGGGATACAGGAGACCACGGTGCAAGCTGGATATGGTAGTACATGGCTTTAATCCCAGCACTCAGGAGGCACAGACAGGCAGATCTGATTTTGAGGCCAGCTTGGTCTACAGAGTGAGTTTTTGGACAACCAGGACTACACAAAGAAACCTAGTCTCAAAAAAAAAATTTTTTTTTTTTAACTTTTTGTTTGTAAGCCTAGCCTTTAAAGGCTGAGCCATCTGTACAGCTCCTTAATTTTCCTCCTACCGGGTTGCCTTGACCAGCTTTGATATGAGTTGAGGGTTTATGTCTGGTTCTACTGAGTCTTAATGTCTCATGTTCAGTTGATGCCCCTACGAGGCCTGCTCTTCTCTGGGGGGGTGGTGGAGATTGGTTGGGGATAGATCTAGAAGAGAGGGTAGGTGCGGTGGGATAGGATGGGTGAGGTAGAAGGAAGGGAAGCTTAGATCAGGATATATTGTATGAGAGAAGAATAAATAAAAATTAAAAGATATACATACATACATACATATATATACACATATATATATATGTATATATGTGTATATATCCTTTAAATTTTGTTGTTGTTGGAGAAGTGGTTCAGTGATTAAAGAGTACTTATGCTCTTAAAGAGGACCTGAGTTTGGTTCCCAGCACCCATACAGTGGCTCATAACCCTCAGAAACTAATTTCAGAGGATCCAACACACCCTCTTCTGACCTCCATGCCATCAGACATGCAGATACTACACCCAGGCAAAACAAATACCTCATGAAAATGAAATACTTTTTTTTTTTTTTTTTTTTTTTTTTACAGATTCACTTTGATTTGGTTTCATTTCATTTTGTTGAGGCAGGCTCTCACTCTGTTGCCCAGGCCTACCTGGCACCCATGATCTTCTTTCTGAGTCACCTAAGTGCTGGTTTTATAAATTTTTTATTTAGAATTCTATAATGGCTTCCAAATTCATATGTGGGCTAGAGTGTACATAGAAATACAACCTATCAAGTGACAGCATGATCTACAATAGATCACATTATAAAACACACACTTTTCAAACAGGTTACAGCATTCTGACCATTTACAACTTGTCACAAACTTGTAGTGCACTGGATAAATAAGAATATGCAGTTCACATGTGTTAGGGAAGAAAAGAAATAGATATATTACCTAATGCTGTATTACATTGTGCTGAATTCTAGGTTGGAAGATAAATGAAACAGTGATGTTTAGTACTCTAAAACAGTTTCCAAAATAAACTATTATGTGTAATGTTTTAGAATAATGAGCCAATATATATTACAGGTCACAGGAGTGTTCTAGTTCAAGGGGAAGACTTACTAATTCATATAATTCCATGATAAGATTTAACCTCAGTTACCCATAGACCTCACTGAGAGATCATGGACCTCATACGAGAGAAAATAATCTAATTAAATGTTTGGTGGATTATATACTTACCTGTCTTATTGGAAATTTCATTCTCTGGGCAGGGTATACAATCAAAACAGCAGACAGCCTTTCCCTGCTGAGGGGATTTTCTGGATCCTGGACTGCAAGGAATACTGCACACTGAGGTTGGAGTCTGAAGAAAATCACAAATGGAGTATAAAGAAAAATATTACCTACTTGGTTATAATTATAGTGACTTAGAAAATGGCACTATTGTGAGGGAGCAGGAACTGGGATTGATATGTAAAATGAGAATGTTTCTAATTCAAATTAAAAAAAGATAAGAAAGTGGCACTATTGTAAAACATACTTTTCCACACATGCATTAAAAGTTACACTTCATTCTATTTTGTGGTTACATATTATACAGGTATAGTGATTTATACAATATGAAACTTATGTATATATTTGTTTATGGATATATAATCTACATCTATACATATCTCTATCTATTTATATATCTATATGTATCTATATCTATATGTACTGTATGCTACTGAAAAACATTCTGAAAGCATGTCTAGGAATGTACAAAATGAGTTAGTGCATAAATTTAAAAATGCTATATTCTATAATGATGGTCAAGTCAATCTTGAGATTTTTGGGGACCTATATTGCATGCAGAGCTCTAAAGAAAAGTCCAATGCACCTGTCTAATATCAGTGTTCCACTGTGTCACCTCTTCAGACATACTCAATTGTTGACCATATGGTAAATATTGGGAAAACATTCCTATTTTCACCTTAAGACCGAGTTTTGGCAAAAAATCCATAGTGTGATGAATGTCATACTCTGTATTCATTTTTTCTTTCTGATTCATGTTCACTTGGTCTCCAGCAGGGTTTGTAAACTGAATGTTTTTCAGGAAAGGGACCATCTGAAACATTTATTATTTTAGTTTCAACTATGCCTACAGAATTAGAAAAGAAAATGTGAAGTTTAGATTGCCTTTAATTTTCATTCATCTGTCCTACAAATGTGACTTGATTGTAACTCCTCTGATAGTAAAGGGAAAAAATTCCTCAAAGATTTATAGTCATATATAAATCATATTATCACTATATTATTAATGTATTTATGTATAAAAATACCATTATAATTTGTAAATACAAATTTCTCGGTGAAGCTAACTGAATGATATATCTGGAAATATTCTGAGGTATTTGCTACCCCATTTCCTCTATAATGTTAATCAGCTAAGAATTAGAGTTCCTCAATAGATTAAAAAATGTGGCTGAATTAATGCTGTTAATTGGTACCTCTTCACTAGATTGATCACCCATTTTGACCACTTAAAAGGCCAGTCAGCCTCATGTTGCCAATAAGAATTTCACAAGACAGCATTAAATTTTTTTCAAATATTAAAAATATGAGATGCATATGTGGTGAGAATATAGGAACAAGTATCAGCTTAGATTATGAGACTGTTTTAGTATTGACTTCTCTTGAATTTAATGAACAGTAAAGTTACATGGCATATAATGAAAGAGTAAAGAAATTGGTGTATTGAAAAGAAATGTTTTTAGAGTACTTGGATAAGACCTAGAGTGTCCATTAAGAAAATGATAATACTATGTGACATGCAATCGAATACATACTACCTGCCAAGAGTCAAATTCCAGTTCTTTTCCATCATTACTTTGCCATGTATCTACTTGTTGCAGAAGCATCTGATGAAGTGCATGGGCCACAGCATACACAGCATTATGTAGATCGTAACTTGTACCACTCAAAGAAATTTCAAGATGCTTATTGAATAACCAGTTTAATATTGTTATGGTTGGACAATTCTTCAGATTATTGCAATTAAATGATGACATAGAACAATTAAAATACATCCACCATAATCTAGCAAGAGATATATCATTACTGTAGTTTGTAGGGTGTGCTGTCTGGATAAATGTTTTAAAACCAGGCAATTCAGAATAGTGATGTGAAAAAGTGAGGGTCCCATAAAAGGAGCTAAGGAGGAATTTTCCATTATGTATGATCATATCCCACTGTGCAGTAGTGACCCAAATTCTCCGAAGGTCCACTAAATTCCATAGTCTAAAGTTCACTTGTAGATTAGAGTCTTTATCTCCATAAATGATAACAACTTTTGCTGATGACAGCATGATCTGGTTATAATATATATCTACATTTCTTAGGAATGCTGTCATACCACTTATAATAATACTCACAAAAGCTAAACAAACACCACTTCTTTTCATCTCTTTTCTCAATTCCAAGAGAAACTGGAGTCCTAGGTCATCATCTGAAATGATTGCTCCCACCCAGTTCCAGCTGAAATGGACCACCAAAGACACCATGGCCAAGGCCAGAGAAGTGTCCTTAGGAGCCATGTGGTATAGATATGGAAACTGTTCTTGGCTGCTCAGGAGAGGATGAAAAGGCCCGTAGTAAAGCTGAAGGTCATAGAACATAAGAAATAACTTGAAGGAGGCAGAATGTATACCACTCAGTCTAAAACTAAGTGCATTAAACAAAACCTGTTAGTGTTAGGAAGTATTGAATTTTCATTACAATATTAAAATCATATCTATGTGAATTAGCAAAACAAGAAATGAAAAGTGGGACATAACAACAGATAATGAGTCATACTTTGGAAACTTGTACTCCACAAAATTGATAAATTCAAATAAAATGGAAAATTTCCCAGAGATTTGACACTTACCAAAATTAAGTCTAGAACAGATAAGCAATTTAAACATACATTTAACCCCTAATAAAATAGAAGCAGGCATCAAAAGTCTCTCAGCCAAAAAAAGCCCAGAATAGATGACTCCAGTGTAGAATTCAACCAGAAATTGAAATAAGACACAATACAAATACTTTCAAGGCACACTACACTGGTCTATCCAAGCAGGACCACCCTGGATCCCCACCTGCCTGATCTTTGACCTCTATTGCCAGAACTCTGCCAGAGGTGAGTCTGTGACCAGTTCAGGTGGAATATCCCCCACACCCTTCCTTGGGAACTCCCTGGGTTGGCCCTGAATCTTGCTCCACACTGTATCTTGTCCCCAGCCAGAATGCTCCTGGTGCTCTGATCTACAAACCCCTCCACCCAGAGCCTGCCCTCCCCCCACCCTGGCCCCTATCTAGCCCACTTCTCCATTGCCCTGGTTGAGCACTAGAGCAGAGGCAGGTACAACAACCCCACCCTGTTTGGGGAACTTCCTGGATCTGCTCTGAGCATACTAGACCCAACTATCCAACTTGGACCACCCTGAGTTCTCAGCTTCCTGATCTTTGATCCCCATTTCCTGAGGAGAGAACTTCTAGAGAGCTTGGATCACCCATATCTATAGACATCCAACTCCAGACCCACCTAAGCTCACTGGGTAAGTAGCACAGAGAAAGAGAGAGAAAAGAAGGGAATGGAAAACATCAATACAAGATAACACCTAATAACAGAAAGTCAAGCATGACACCTCCAGAATCTAGGGACTCCACACCAACTAGACCTGATCACACCAAGGCAGATGAAATAGAAGAGAAAGACTTAAATAACAGCATAGCTGGGCATTGGTGGCACATGACTTTAATCCCAGAACTCCAGAGACAGAGGCAGGAGGATGTTTGTGAGTTTGAGGCCTGCCTGGTCTACAGAGTGAGTGCCAGAAGGGGCTCAAAAATATACATAAAAAGCCTGTTTCAAACAAAACAAAAAAAAAATAACTTCATAAAAATGATAGAGACCCTCAAAGGTGACATGAGGAAATCCCTTAAAGAAATGGAAGAAAAAACAAAAACAAAAAAAAAAAATTAGAAGAAATGGAGGAAAAGACCAAGTAGAAAACATTGTAAGAAATGAACTAATTTCTTAAAGTAAATAAGGAAAGCCAAGAAAAAGCAATCAAACAGATAAAGGAAACTATTCAAACAGTTCAAGACCTGAAAACTGAAATAGAGACAATACAGAAAACACAAACTAAGGGAATGCTGGAAATAGAAAAACTGGGCAAACAATTGAGAACTACAGAATGTAAGAGATGGAAGAGAGAATCTGAGGCACTGAAGATAAAGTAGAGAAAATGCATGCATCAATCAAAGAAAATCTTAAATTCAACAAATCTTTAATACAATTGAACATTGTGAAAAGGCCAAACTAAGAATAATAAGCATAAAAGAAGGCAAATAAACTGAGCTCAAATGTGCAGAAAACATATTCAACAGAATCATTGAAGAAACCTTTTCCAATCTGAAGAAGGACATGCCCATGAAAGTACAAGAAGCATACCAAACACCAAATACATTGTACCAAAGAGAAAAGACCCCTTGACACATAATAATCAAACCACCTAACATACAGAATAAAGAAAGAATATTAAGAACAGTGAGTAAAAACACCAGGTAACATGTAAAGGCACACCTATCAAAATTACACCTGACTTCTCCACAGAAACTCTCAAGGCCAGAAGGTCCTGGATAGATGTTCTACAAGTACTAAGAGTCCATGGATTCCTGTTATCCATGATCTCTCCAAGACCTTTATCATGAAAGGGTGTTAAATTTGTTCAAGTATTTTTCAGCATCTAGTGAGATAATCATGTGGTTTTTCGTTTTCAGTTTGTTTATATGGTAATCACATTAATAGATTTTTCTAATTTGCACCATCCCTGCATCTCTAAGCTAAAGAAGCCTACTTGGTCATGGTGGAGGATTTCTCTGATGTGTTCTTGAATTTGATAATTTGATTGTCCAGTATTTTATTGAGTTTTTTTTTTGTTTTTGTTTTTGTTTTTTGCCTTAATGTTCATGACGGAAATTGGTTGTAGTTCTCTTTCTTAGTTCTGTCTTTGTGTTGACTTAGTTACCAAGGTGATTGTGGCATTCTAAAAAGAGTTTGGTAATGAATCTTCTGCTTCTTTTGTGTGGAACTATTGGAGAAGTATTGGTATTAGCTTCTCCTTGAATTTCTAGTAGAATTCTGCACTGAAGCCATCTGGCCCTGGGCCTTTTTTTGTTGGGAGGCTTTTGATGACTGCTTCTATTTCATTAGAGGTTATAAAAGCAATATAGAGTAAACCAACAGCCAACTTCAAACTGAATGGAGAGAAGCTTAAGGTGATTTCTCTAAAATCAGGAATAAGACAAGGCTGCACTCTGTATCCATATCTCTTCAATATTGTACTTGAAGTTCTAGCTAAAGCAATAAGACAACAAAAGGAGATCAAGGAGATACAAATTGGAAAGAAAGAAGTCAAACATTCTCTATTTGCAGATGATATGATAGTTTACAAAAGCAACCCAAGAAATCTCTACTAGGGAAATCTTATAGCAGACAAACTCCTTCAGCAATGTAGCAGGATACAAGATAAACTCAAAAAAGTCAGTAGCTCTACTTTATTCAGACAACAAAGGGGCTGAGAAAGAAATCAGTGAAACATTACCCTTTACAATAGCCACAAACAACATGAAGTATCATCACCATTTACAACAGCCACAAAGAACAAAAAGTATCTTGAGGTAATGCTTACCAAAGAAGCAAAAGACCTATATAATAAGAATTTTATGTCTTTAAAGAATGAAGTTAAAGAAGATACCAGAAAATGGAAAGATCACCCATGCTCTTGGATAAGTAGGATAAACATAGTAAAATCCTAGCACAAGTCTTCACTGACATTGAAAGGATAATAATCAATTTTATATGAAAAAACAAAAGACCTAGGATAGCCAAAACAACCCTGTACAATAAAGAGACTTCAGGAGGCATCACCATCCCCTACGTTAAGCTCTATTACAGAGCTATAGTCCTGAAAACAACCTGCTATTGCCCCAAACATAGACCGGTAGATGAACTCCTGATTTTTGACAAAACAGCTAAAGTATACAATGGGAGGAGGAAAGCATCTTCAACAAATAGTGCTGGCACAATTGGATGATGGTATGTTGAAGAAAACAGATATTGCCACGCACAAAACTCAAGTCCAAATGGATCAAAGACATCAACATAAATCCAGCTACACAGAAACTCTTAGAAGAGAAGTGGATGGTACCCTTGAACTAATTGGTACAGGAGACTGCTTCCCAAACATAACTCCAGTAGCACAGACACTGAGATTGACAACTAATAAATAGGACTGTCTGAAACTGAGAAGCTTCTGTAAGGCAAAGGACACAGTTGACAAGACCAAACAGCAGCCTGCAGACTGGGAAAACATCTTCACTAATCCTACATCTGAGAGATGGTTGATTCCAAAATATACAAAGAACTCAAGAAGCTAGTTACCAAAACACCAAATAACTCTATTAAAAATGTGGTACAGAACTGAAGAGAATTCTCAATAGAGGAAATCAAAAAGGCTTAAAGACACCTAAGAAAGTGCTCAACATCTTGTAAGAATGGCTATCATCAGAAACACCAATGACAGTTTATTCTAGAGAGGATGGTGAGAAAGGGGAACACTCCTCCACTGCTGGTGGGAGTACAAACTTGTACTGCCACTTTGGAAGTCAGTATGGCAGTTCTGCAGGAAAATGGTAACCAGTCAAAATAAGATCCAGCAATTCCACTGTTAGGCATATAATCTAAAAGATGCACATTCATGCAACAAAGATATATGTTTAACTATGTTCCAGGCAGCATTATTTGTAATAGCCAGAACCTGGATACAATATAGATGCACCCCAACTGAAGAACAGATGAAGAAAATGTGGTACCTACACACAATGGAGTACTACTCACTGGAAAAAAGAAACAACAGAATCTTCAAATTTGCAGGCAAATGCATGGTTACCTCCTGAGTGAGTTAACCCAGTCACAAAAAAGACAAACATGGTGTGTACTCACTCATATATAGATTTTAGACATAAATCAAAGGATTACCAGCCTACAATCCACACTTCCATGGAAGATAGAAAACAAGGACTCTAAGAGAGACATAAATGGTCCCCCACACAGAGGGAAAGGGACAAGTGATTGGTAATGTTCTCTTATATATTTGTTAGTCTTACTCGTTGATGAATAAAACATTTATTGACCAGGCAGGAAGTGATATAGATTGGGAGACACTGCCACTAGCTAACCATAGAGGTCTGGAGGTTTGTAGAGAGAGGCAGGAAGTGATGTAGTTGGGCAGAATCAGAATATAAGCAGGTACAAACGAAAATGCTCTCTTCTCTGTACAGAATTAGTAGGCAAAGGAGATGCAGGTGTGGCAATGCCAGTAAGGCAAGACCTGTGGAAATACTCACATTAATATAAAATATATCAATAACTGAGAGTTAGCCAATAAGAAGCCATAGCCAATGGCCAAGAGTTTCATAATTGATACCATGTCTCTCTGTCTAATTGGGGCTGACATGGCTGTAGGAGCAGGCTGGTCGGAAAGTGCTCATAACAGACAAGATCTCCAGAGCAAATTGGGAGCAGGTCAGAAGGGGAGAGGAAGTTAGGACAAACAGAATGGTAGAAGAGGAGTGGAGAGGTGAGCATGAGGGAGCAGGATGATTGAGTTGGGGAAAGAATAGAGGAGAGCAAGAACAGAGATTCCATAATAGAGGGAGATATTATAGATTTAAACAGAAATCTTTCAGTAGGAAATGTCCAGAGACCTACAAGGATGAACCCACCTAACAATCTAAGCAAGAGTGTATAGGCTACCTTAATTGCCCTTCCATGATAATGAGATTGACAACTACCTTATATGCCACCCTTGAGCCTTCATCTAGTAGTTGATGGATGCAGAAGCTGAAAACCACAGTTAAACACTGAGCCCTAGAGCACGAATGGATTTTGGGGGTCCATTCCCCAAGGAGATATACCCCTTTAGCCTAGAGACATTGGGGAGGTTCTAGGCCCAACCCCAAATAATCTGACAGATGTTGATGATCCATCATGTATAGCCTTACCCTCCATAGATGGGGGATGAGACGGGGGTTGCTGGGGCCATGGCAGGAAGGGAAGGAGAGGGAACTAGGATTGATAATGTAAAATAAAAAAATATAAAAAGTTTAGAAAAGTATATCTAATTTCTTGTTCTTATAAAGTACAGAAAATCTAAGTGTCTACTAAAACTCTTCAAATTTCTGCTGTTATTCAGGTCTGTATATGCTAAAGTAGTGGTATGTGACTCTAATATGTCTCAGTATTATGCCTTGAATAGACATAAAACCATTTCTTACTTTCAATGTGAATTAGTATTAGAAATGAAGTGGAATGAAAGTAGCCAATGTTTTATAAAAATTAGCCCCCCCCCACTTTACCTCTGGTCTTTTGGAGATGTACATGAGTGGTCCAAGTATGGCAGATGTTAACCACATTGGTCCTGTAAGTACAATTAAGTATCTTCTCTGATTTATGCAGTAGTAGTTAGGAATAATTTCACCTCTTTTTGAGATTAAACTTTTTATTTTCCAATCATCTAGTAGGCTACATTCGACTTTGACTAGCAGTGAAATGTTGGGTAGAATATGTGGGTTTTGGTTGATTTCTTTGAGGGCAAAGTAAAGAGAAAAAATCAAGTGGATATTCTTGGCTGTCAACCTGGAAACAGAGCGAAGAGATGATTAGAGACTAGACTACAAGCCTGATAATACCGAATAACACTAATATAGTTTATGATTTCTTGACTGGTTGTTATGTTTACACAAGTTGTTGTACAGTGGAGTATGAGAAATTGAGTTCTGTGGAATTAAGTAAGGATTTTAGAAAGGATTATTGTAGGTATCTGTTACGTGATGTCCTGTGATTTTGAACTTTGATACAGTTTCTTTCCTTTGTCTGCATGCATGGTATGAAGCTTGTCATCAATGAAAATGAATTTGCTCATTCCTTTATTTTGGCATTCTAATAATCAACATTCATGAAAAAAATACAGGGTTATAACCTGTTACCTAGGTTTATTTTATTACAAAGAAGCAGCCCTCACCAAGGACATTGTTTATTTATGAACACAATGAATAGGTAGCCAAATCTATATGTCTATGTCACTGGCTCTGAGAAAGCTTGCAGAGTAAGAATCAATAAAAACATCATAATTATTTTTATTCTTTCTCTACACTTCATACACATTTGTCTTCTTTCTTTTCCATTTATTGCTGTTAATTTTTTGATGATATGCTATTGATAATAACAATCGTTTTTATGAGGAATGAACCATTTTCTCTTACCACATGTAGTAAGATTGCTAATAATGCATTCCATTTTTATTTACTTATCTGCATGTTACAGACTTGGCTCTGATGCCCTTCTCTTCATTCTGGTTTATAAAGCATTATTTCTTCTTTAATCACCTAATATTGATTCTCATATATTAATTCAATATATTTTAATTTGATATAGTCTTGTTCAGTCTGAAAATCATGACTAATAAGAATCTTTATCAATTTATTGTTTTTCTAATTACAATTCAGTTTTTCCCTCCTGTTACAGAATATCTTACTGCTTTTGGCCATTTTACATATTAAGCTACATCAGCTCACTTAGTTAATGTGTACCTAGAAAATAAACATGCTCTATAAGTTTGTGCTTCACGTTTGAGTAACTGCAGTGTGTTATTCCTTTATTTTTTTTTTAGTTTCTGTCTTATTAATTAATGCCCAAACCTACACTGCTTTCTAGTGCCTTCCCTTTCTGTATTCTGGATTTTGTTGATATATGTTGCCTCCAGTTTAAATTTGAGTTCTCCAATTAAAGCAGTGACATTAATATGTCAAAATATGTCAGTCTTTAACTTCCAAGTAAAGTTTTAAAATTTGTGTTTGCTCTTTGCTCTTTCTATGGAGTCATACATTCAGTTCCCATGAAATACTATTATTATTTCATTTTGTATTTAATTGTTTCTATATCAAATCCTTGATTATTTGGTGGAATCCACAACTTTTAAAAAATATTTTTTCCGTGACATCATCAATACTTCTACATTACCTTATTTGTTCAATGATATACCAGTTCTGAGTTTTCATTTAATCTATGGAAATGTGTTTTCTAATATTAAGGCACTGTTAATTATTAGTCCTGAAATTACTGGCCATCATTTTATTATAAGTTATTGAAAATACTTAAATATCAGGATATCTAATAAACATTACAATTGGAATAATTCCAATTTCTTTTTATCTTGCATTCACCTGTCTTTCTGTATGCTTTCCATTGCTTTATTCAAAGTCATAAATACCCTGTGCTGTGGAAATTAAATATGTATAAAGAAAGTAGGTACAAGTCTTCCTCTGTACACAAATATAACTAAAAATGAATCAGTAGTAGTAATAGATACACAATGAAAGAGGAAGGCTCAGTTATCTTTAAGCGTATAGTCCATGGTGGTTCAAAAATGGTCGAAATAGATGTACCATGTACAAAACCATATCATCAGCATAGATTAATCATGATGGGTCTGAAATTATTTTCAGGTGGAGAGAAAATGTCATCAAAACACAATATGCAAAATTCATAAAGAACTAATAAAAATGTATCTTATGGGGGATAGGAGGGGAGGGTGGTTGGGGTGCATGTGAGGATGGGAGAAATGAAAAGAGGGAGGGAGAGAAAGAGTGAGGGAGAGGGAACATTGTCTATATGTAAATTAATAATAAAAATAAAAAATAAAATAATATAAAATAAAAAAGCAAAAACAACAACAAAAATAATGTTACCAAAGAAATAAGCTTCAAACAGAAGTAATGTATATAGCTTCACATTTTGGGGATTTTGACTTGATCTGAATGAAACTTAACTAGCTTCTTTCCCTCATAGCTCTATACACCTAGGTAGGAGAGAGTTATGGCCACAAACATTCACATCATGTATTAGATAAATGAGAAAATATCAGGAAAGTTTGGTATTACACGATTGCAATAGAAGGCACACATTGAATTATTTCAACACCCCATAAAGTATACCACATATAGATATTGCTAATCTGAGACTCTATTGATCAGTGCATAAGCATCTCTGTAATCCTAGAAGCAAACCTATAGGAATTATTAAAATTTAGAAAAATGAAATACCTATGATAATCTTCCCCTTTCAAAATGTCAACAAACCATACATTCTAGTGTATAGCTGAAGCCACAAAGAAAAGCCTTTGCCCAGTCACAGAAATTATGACTATGTAAGTCATCAGAGGAGCTTTCATATGCAAATTCTAATCTAATATAGCACACATCAAGAAAAGCTAATTCAATTCAGACAGAATTAGATATATCAACAGTTCTGAAGGATTTCATTTGTAAAAACCTCTGGGTGCAGAATATTGGTCCAGTATACTGAGGAAACTCAAAATTAAAACAATTTTGTGTGTTTTCTTCACATACTCTAATTTGTCAAAAACGAATTTGTGATATTCTACCTGGTCTGAGAAGAGCATGCAATGACTAGGATTATCACAAGCCTACTTTTCCAGGTGCACAGTAATTGCAAAGGGTGTTCAGCAGGACAAATCCATCAAAATATGATATTTTGTTCTCTAAAAATTTCTCATTATTACTTACATTTACAGCCAAAGTCAAACATGTTTGTCACAAACAATAGCTAAGAAACATTTTTTAAGTGCTCAAGTAAAATGACATTCACCTAACTGGTAAATTGAATCTGAAAATAAAAATACATAATAAAGAAGAGAATGTTAAAGTGTGATTCATGTACTCACAGACTCTTAAATAGACTGGATAAGTAGAGTAATTATACAAATACAATGAATTGGAAACATTTTTAAATTCAATATGAAAGAAATATGGTTCTCTGACAAAATGTAAAAATATCCTTTAAAATTTCATATTTACTTCACAGTGCCACATATCCATCTACTTCTGCTATGAATTTGTTTGCCTTCATCCATATGCTACTAATAAATGAAAAGAAAATCTTCAGATGATAAAACTTAATGGTGTTATTCCTTACAGGTGGTACAATGCCCTAACTTGAATAGGTTTCATTACCAGATATTAGATTGCTATTTGTGACAATTTAATTAGGATGCCCTGGAAACATTACACAGTTGCACAAATTAAATCTAAAACCAAGTAATCTTACTAATAAATATAATTTATGATCAAACATACAAACTAGAGTGTTCTGTGAAAATATTCCCACAATATATAAACCCACTTTTGATAGTTATGAAAAGAGGAAAAGAGAAGTAATTGTAGAAATTAGTGCCAGAGATTAAAGAGTTAACACATAAAAATATCAAATAAATAGTAAGAATTGTGAACATATTTGTGACAGTAACAGTCCCCTTCCTCATGGTGGCAGGTGCTACAGGCAACAGCTTTTATTCTAGCATATGACACTACATTCAGTGACAGACCTTCTTCTGAAAAGTGCACAAGAATTCTTTTGGAATTTTATAAATGGCTGCTACATACATTTTTACCATAGAACTTTGAAAAATACATGGACCTGGGTCTTCTCCCTACCCCCTAACTTCAATAAGTGTAAAAAATTGCATATGGATTTCATAAAAATTATCTTCTATAGTAGAAAAATCATAGGGGAAACATGGACATATATTTCTTTATATATGTATATTCTATACATGTATAATCTCTCTCTCTCTCTCTCTCTCTCTCTATATATATATATATATATATATATATATATATATAAGAAACATGAGAATTCCTATATAACCAATATGCTACATACAAGTCAATTGTCAATTAAAAAAAAACATGTGGTTATGGTTGTTTTCAGGTGAAACAAAATTTTACAAAAAGCATTACATTCTCATAATGTGAATGAACCTTCTTTTGCTGTACATGATTTCAGTGTTAGTAGTCCAACTGCATAACAGATATGAAATGACAAAACAAACTATAAAAATATAATATTCTCTTAAAATATGTACTTATGAAGCACTGCAGAAATATTAAAGACCTATTTTAATAAGAATTAGACATTCCATGTTGATGAAAGAAACACTAGAAAACTACTTAATGAAAACTTTAGTAAATCTCTAGGAAATGAACTCATGACAGTGCTTTGGATTATGTTTGTCAGGAACATCACATGCCACTATGCAATGGCAACTACAACTATTTAGCGGGACACACACACACACAGACACACACACACACACACACACACACACACACACATTTTTCTGGTATGTAAAATATAGGACATATATATGTTGTATATTGTTCTGGTATGAAAAATGTAACTCTGAAAAATGAATCAGATACACTTAAACTGTGAGAAATGGGGAAAATAAAACCGTGAAACAAAATAAATTTTAGTTATGTCTTAGATAGTGACAGAGGACAAAACAGAAGACATGGAATATTAGGATCTGCCTATATATATCTCTTCTATGTATTATTTACATTTATTATTATTTAAGAATAAATAAATGAAAGTTACTTACCGTTTATCTAAATTCCCACTGAAGTATTCATTCTTCACATGACCAAGCTTTGTATAAATATAGAAGAAACAATCAGTATCTTTGTCTCCTTCCCAAATTTTGTTGGTTTTTAATCTCCAAAAGCACCTAGGTTCAATTGAACTGCTGAACAGAAAGGAAAGCTTCAGGGTCAACAAGACAACCATCAAAGAGAACATTTTTATCATGTCACCAAGATGAAAGGGTAGGTAAAAGTATAGCAAACAAGTCACATAGAAAACAATATGTCTGTACACATATCTGTGTCTCATTTTATTACTGTAGTCACTAACGAGTGCACTTATGTTTGCCTCTCACCTTGTTCTCTGGGGAGCTTTTAATCGTTCTCAGGCCTCAGGCTCTGCATCTGAGTTCTCGTGGGCAGGTGCAAGCAACATTTTGTAATTTTGTCTAAGAATCACTCTTCCTTCCATATTATTTATGATTCTGAACATGTCAGTCAACCTGAAATCCCCAGGAAAGATTCCTCCTAAGTAAATAATGTAATAAGCATGGTTCACAAAAGAGCTTTTCCAAACACAAATTGAAATTTTTTAATCAGATTGCATCAGACATTTGAAACAAGTTTAAGATAGAGGCCTCAGAAACAACTAATCCTAGACAGAGCATTCTAGAGACATTCATGTATTATATCCACGAATATCTGTGATGTACAATGTATAATCATATATTTCATGTTCAGACAACCACAAAACATGCATTCTCTCTCCTACTCTCTCTGACACACACACACACACACACACACATACACACACACACACACACACACCTACCTTCCCTCTGATCCTGTTTCTCTCTGTCTTTAGAAAACAAACAGGCTTTTAACAGAAAGAAATAATTCCAAAAGAAAGCACAATATTCAGAAACCCCCTTGTTCTCCTACTTACAAATTCTATAAAAATGCAAATCTGGAAACACAGTATATATGCAAAGAACCTGCATGTTAAAGAAGAGAAGAAAATTATATTTAAATAAAATAAACATGATACATAACAAAAAGGGAAAGCTCTAATATGACACTGATTGACAAGGAACTTCCAAAGATTCACTTGACTTTATTTTGTGTTGGCCATCTACATTTAGACATTCAGCACACCATTAAGAATAATTTTTTTTCTTTTTTTACCCCAGGGAGTCTCCCTTGGAAATAAACTATGTTTTTATTTAAAAGTGGTTATCGACGGGACATTGTTTCTTGTGGCGATATCTTGCTTGTACAAATAAAGCCTGTCTGAAGGTCAGACAATGGATCTTTCCACTAGCTAACCACAGAGGCCTGGAGGTATAAATAGACAGACATAAAATAAGGTAGCTGGGCAGAAACATGATCTAAGCATGGAAATACAGGGATTCAATCTCTTGTCTGCTGATAGACTAAGGGGGTGGGGTATGGTCATGGCTTGCTCCTTCTCTGTATCTCTCAGCATTTTCCTGTATATCTGACACTGGGATTTTATTTCTTATACAAATTAAGAATTCCTTTTACAGCTTCTATGTTAGGGATAGGAATGTATGTTCATTTCTTTCAGCTTAGGTCCTCATCTGGTACTGACCTGTTCATGCTGTCTCAGTCTCTGTAAATTCATATGGGTACTGATTATGTTTATTTAGAGGGCCTCGATTTCTTACTGTCCTAAATCTTCTGTAGTTTTTACATGTCTTCTGCCATTTCTACTGAGTTTCCTGAGCAATGAGGGGAAGTATTTGATATTCCCTTTAGAGCCCATTATTTGCAGGTATCTCACTCTCTGTCTAATGTCTCAGTGAATCTCTGTATTTATTACTATCTGTTGAGGAAGTAGCTTCTCTAACAATTGCTGAGCAATGCCCTGATCCCATGTTATGCATACTTCCTCCTCCCTCTTAAAGAACAGTATTATTTGATTTGTCCTAGGTATCTGGAGTATCTAGTCTCTGGTTCTTGGTCACTTAAGTGGTATTGCATATGGGTTTAGTCTTGTGTAGAGACTAAATTAAATAGTTAAATTAAATATTGTTTGGTTACTCCCTCAAATAGTGCTGTTTGAGGCTGTTTTGGTGTTTACATTTCCAGCTCTACTTCTCCAAAGTCAATGAGTTGTGTAGATGTTAATGTCAGCAACAAGGTCTTCCTATCAATTTGTGGATTGAAACCTATAGTCTTGGCAATAACTTGGGTTGTTTTGGGTTTCCTATGGAAATATTTGGCCAACAACTCAATTAGATACAACTCAATCTCAGGACTGGAAGTGTTATTTGGTGACAATAAGGGCCAGTTAGTGTTTTATCTCCTCTAGTATTTGCTGACTTCATTTAGACAACATTCTTATTTACATATACTTTAGGAAGCTTTCCTTGTGTTAAACTTCCACTCTACTCTGCAAATGGCCCTTCATTTCAACTATCTCTCCAGGTACTCATCCCACTCTCTACTTTTCTGTGCCACTTGATCCTCCAATTTCACCCTCTGCCATCCACCCATAGATTTTTATTTCCCCATTCCATAAAATGTTATCTGTCTCCCCTAATCTCTTATTATATATGTAAGTCCTTAGTTTTATGGATTTAACTTTGCTATTGTGTAATAACAATCTGCAGGCAGCAGAAAGAAAGATACAGGGCCTGGCTGGAGCTTCTGTTACTTCAAAGCCCACACCCATTGACAATCTTTCTCTAACAAGAGTACATCTACTGAAACAAAATATCACAACTAATTGTGCCAACTCTTATGAGATTAGGGGTCCATTTTTATTGAAACCATCATATTTCCCTGACCTCCATATTCTTGTATCCATGTAAGGAGTAAGTTATTTTTTCCCCGACACTGGTCTTGTCCCACAGTTGGGCCAGCCCCAATTAATACACCGAGACTCTGTATTGACATAATGCTATTGGCCAGGTACTAGTTTCTTATTGGCTAGCTCTGTTTTAATTATTAACCTATTTCTGTTGATCTAATATTTCCACGTGCTTTCTTCTTACCTGGGAATGGGGTAGGCATCTTGTCTCCCCAGTCTCTCCATCTTGACTCCTCCTTACCCTTTTCTCTTTCCTCTTTTTCTCCTAGTTCCTCCTATCTTCCTTTCCTATTGGCCAACAAACAGTGCTTTATTCATTAACCAGTATGAGAAACATATACAGAATGGCATCTCCCATCATCTCCTCTTTTCTGTCTAAATAAAAAGAAGGGTTTTAACCTTAACATAGCAAAATATATCACACAACAGTTATCAAAAAGAATCACAGTTAACAATATTTAGTTCATTAACATTTATCAAGATTTGAAGAAAATATTTCATCATCTATCCTATGTGTATATGTGTAACTTATTTTTAATTCCAACTAAGGAAAACAATAGCCATAACTATTTTTCTTCAACTCCATCAAAGACCACAGAAGGAAAAAATATATACTCTAGAAATGATAGAGAAATCTTGCCTTGTCAGTCACATGAAGTTCTTCTGTAATCTTCCATCTTTAGCGCATAGGTCATAGTGTGTTTAGCAGACTCTTCAGCAAAGCAGGAAACTAAACTGTCTTCTTGTATTGGCAGTTTGTCAGTCACTTTTCTCTGTGTCCTGTAGAATATCTGGCAGACACTTCCATGAAGCAGGAATCCTTTAGCAATGTCCATCTGTACTAGCAGTCATTTTCCTGTGGATTCTGCATGTCCAGTTTATACAGCATAAAGTCAAATAGTCCAGAGAAGAGCAGTATCTTGTCCAAATGGCTAGTCTTGCCATATTGGAGGCAAACTTCATAATGCGTTTCTCCGATGTTCATCTTTCTTTCTGACGCAGGTGGTGTTGTCAGGAGCAGTTATGTCTCATTGTCAAGAACAACTCTAAACCATATTAAATGCCATATTCTGTAGGTCTTTGAAAGCTTTGAAGAATGCCTATTTATTTCTAATACATCTCTGTATATCTAGAAATCCTTACTTAATTCTATGTTTTGACTATTATAGATAACAATCTATAATCTGCACTAAATTATACATTACATTTCTACACAATACCTAAACAAGAGGAGAAATATACATATCACAAAATTGACCTTAAATTGCATCAATCAATGAAAATCCATTCCAAAACAAAGTAATCGTATCTATACCATAATCCCCTTTTTACCTTAAAAAGAGATTGGTTGTGGTCATTAACCATGTATAACCAACCCAATTTAATGAAAACAAATATTTATAAACACTATTTGGGAATTTGGGCATCATTGTTTCCAAACTACTCCCTGCTGGTAAAGGGTGCTGTCATGGGGAATCCTAAGAAGATGAAGAAATCTTGGCTGTAGTCTGCAAGGCTGGCTCATCCCAGCTGTTTTGAATGTTGGATCACCAGCAACTCTGTTTTAGGGGGTCTGGCTTGATCAAACCATATTAGTTTGGTAGGAATCTACAGCTTTTTATTTTCTGTGGAAACAAAAATAGAAATCCTTTCCCCCAGGTGTAAGGAGTAGGGTTTTTCCTCCCGCCACTGGTCTTGTCCTGCCGCAGCGCCATCCCCAAATAACGCACAGAGACTCTGTATTTGATATTATGCTATTGGCCAGTTACTTGTTTCTTATAGGCTAGCTCTGTCTTAATTATTAACCCATTTCTATGTATTTCCACGTGGTCTTACCAGCGAGAGTCGGCTGGCAGTTCTATTCTCTCCAGACTCTCCATCTTGTCTCCTCCTTCCTACTTCCTCTTTCCTCCTTGTCTCCTAGTCCCACCTATCTTGCTTTCCTATTGGCCAACAGCCAATTGGAAACAGCTTTATTCATTAACCAGTATGAGAAACATATATACATAATGACATCTCCCATCATCTCCTCTTTTCTGTCTAAATAAAACGAAGGGTTTTAACCTTAACAGCAAAATATATATCACAAGTTATCAAGTAAGAATTACAGTTAACAATACTTAGCTCATTGACATTTATCAAGATTAAAAGAAACTATTCTATCATCTATCCTATATTTCTGATTCTAAAGTCCTATATGTAACTTATCTTTAATCCTAACTAAGGAAAACTATAACCATAACTGTCTTCAACTCCATCAAAGACCACAGAAGGGTAATAGATAAACTCTAGAAATGACAGAGACATCTTGCCTTTTCAGTCACCTGAAGTTCTTCTGCAATTTTCCATCTTCAGCCCATAGGCCATAGTGTGTCTTGCAGACTCTTCAG